TGTGTGTGTGTGTGTGTGTGTGTGTGTGTGTGTGTGTGTGTGTGTGTGTGTGTGTGTGTGTGTGTGTGTGTGTGTGTGTGTGTGTCACGTCACTGCATCCTCCGCCGGTTCCTCCCGTCGCCTCTTCTTTGTTCGAATGTTTTTCAATCCATCCTTCACGAAGCCCTCCCATGTAGCTAGCGTTCTTGGCGAATGTCTCGAAATGGCCAGCAGGCGCCGTCTGCTCGCGGCCTGTGCGGGCCGCTCGTCCTCCTCGCCCTTCTTTCGTCCTCCCGTCCCTCCCCTCCACCATGGCCTTCTCGGCACTTCTTTCTCCATCCGCCTCGCCCTGCCTTTTCGTATCGTGCCGTTCGCCCTCCATTCGGTGACCTCCATGGCTGTCCGCCCCCTTTTGGGTGGCGCTCTCGATACGGTTGCGTCAACCTCGACGTCGCTGTCGCCCTCCCCGTCCCCGCCGTCGTCCGTGCCTCGGTTCGCGTCATCGGTAGCGTCTCCGTTGTTCCCTCATGCCCCGCCGTCGCCCTCTCTGCTCGGGCCGTTAGCGATTTCGCCCCTCCTGCGTGTCGCCCCTCCGTCCCCTCCCCTTTCTTCGTCGTCATCGTCGCTGTCGCGAAAGCCCTCCGGTCCCTCGATTCCCTCGCCTATCCCCTCCGCTGCGTCGTCCCAGTTTATATCCTCATCCTCTGCGCACGTCGCGTTGGCTTCCTCTCTCCCCCTTTCCTCCCTGCCCCTCTCGCTGTCTGGTGTTAGTGGACCCCCTTCCTCTCCCTCGCCACCGTCACCGTCACCATCCCCGTCGCTACCGCCCTCCATGCCCGCCGCCCTTTGTTTCACACTCGCCTCTGCCATGTCCGCCGTCGCCGCCGTCCTGTCTGCTGCGCTCTGTGCTCCGTGGTACAGTCGCTTATTGTTGCTCAGGATTAGCTCACGCACCAGGACAGCCTCCTGCTCGTTATTTTCTGGCTTGCCGATATGCGTGGCCGAGCGTTTTTGATCTCTCGGTAAGTGGGCGCCCGCCCGCCGCCTCTGAGGGGGTCGGGCCCCCTAGACTGAAAACAAAAACAAAGTGTAGAAACCGTCAAAAACAGCCTGCGAGAGCGGCGCTGCGCGCCGCCTAGAGGACGACGACATCGAGGATGTCATGTTGCGCGATGGCGTCATCCATTTCGTCAAGCCACCTTCATCATGACCGTCGCCACCCTCGCCACCGTCTCGCCTACGTCGCCGCCGTCGCCATCGTCGGCCTCGCTGCCGAGACGGTGCTGCTGCACCTGACTCAACTCTCCCACCCCCCTGGCTCCTATGCCGACGTGTCCCGTGCTCCCCCGTCCGCCGATGTCTCTGCTGCCGCCCGGCGGAGCTCTGCAGCGCGGGCTCTCCTCGCCGCCTTCGCTGCCGCTGCATCGCTGTCGGCTCGTCATGTCTGTCTAGGGTCATTGGGGGCGTGCCATCGCTCGTCTCTCTCTCTCCCGGGGTCAGCTCCAAGCTGCCGTGTCGGAGACGTCGCCCCGTCGCCCCCTCGGCTCCCCCCCCCCCCCCTCCGCTGAACGGTACTGCACATGCTGCGCGTTCTCGCCTTGTCCCAGGAGCCAGGTGCGTGTGTCTAATCGTAGTGGGGGCCCTGGCCCCCCTCTGTTTTCTGTTTTCTGTTTTTCAACACGCCCGCCCGCCCGCCACCCCGAGGCGGCTCGGCCCCCCACTTACCGAGAGATCAAAAACGCTCGGCCCATCCAAAGTTCCACGCTAGCTCCTCCTTCGTCACGTCTATCTTTTTGCAGTATCTCGCGAATGCCGTCCGCGCTTGCTGGGGTGTTATTGCGTTCGGATCCGCCCTGGTCCCCGCCCTGTATCCCACGTCCTTGCGGTGGCTCCTGTATGAGTCCCCATCAAAAACCTTGGCCGAGCTCAATATCCAGACAGCCGCCTCCAAGACTCTGACTGGTCCAAGCCGCCTCTCCCCCACGGAGAGACAAGAGCGCGCTCCTTTCCACTGGCCCCTGTCACTGGCCCCTGTCCGCGACCCCTCAGCCGAGAGCGGTGGGGTCACCCCACATCTGGTCGCGTGGCTCAATGAGCAGCTCGTGCACGCCGACATGCGCCGGGGCGGTCAGCGCGTACAGCACTGCGGAGGCGATGTCGGCGACGTCGAGCACGGAGTTGCGCTCTCCCGCAATCTTCTCGCCGATGCTGACGCCCATCTTCTCCGCCGCCTGCGGCGACGACGACAGTGCTCAGTCGATGCTGCGCCGCGCTACTCTGGCGGTGTCGCATCATCACCGCCGCCTCTTTGTCCGTGTTCGCGACGATGAGATTCGTCCCGACGTCCCCCGGCTGAACGTCCGTCACCTGGCCCCATGCAACCTCGCGTCATCATCGGGCGATGTCTAATCTACCGCAATCTCGCGCAGTCTCGGGAATGACTCGCGCAATCTCGCGCAATCTTGGGACCATCTCGCGCAATCTCGGGCAGTCTCCGCCTTGACGCCGGTGCCGACGCACTCGGCCCGGAGACCCTTTGAGAAGATGGCGACGAAGGCCTGCGGGAGACTGCCCGAGATCACGCTGAGATCGCCTCGAGGTTGCGGTGAGACGGTGAGACGATGACGGCGTGCCTTTGAGGCGTTGTAGACTGACAGCGCCGGGAAGACCTATCGCGGCCCGCAACCAGCATCGTGAGGCTCCGCTGCCATGATCCGTGCGCTCCCGTTCACCCGTTTGACTCGCCTGCTTCGCTGCGTCCGAAGAAATGTTGACAATATGGCCAGACCTAATCAATCTCGGGTTGATCTCGCGGTGATCTCGGAGGGGAGGCGGCGGCGAGAGCGGCCGCGCTTGCGGGCGAGCATCTGCTGCAGCACGGCGCCCACGCCGTTGACGACGCCCTTGCAGTTGGTGTCGATCGTCCTCTCCCACTCGTCCTCGTGAAGGTTCTTCATCATCGTGAAGTACATCACGCCGGCCGCGTTGACGAGGATATCGACAGGCCCGAGCTGCGCCTCCGCCGCGGCCGCGAGCGCCTTGACGTCGGCTCGCACGGTCACATCGGTCGCGACGGCGATGGCCCGGCCGCCTCGGCCGGCAATCTCGTCGGCGGTGGCCTGCGTGATGTCGACCCGCCGCGCCGCCAGCGCCACCGCACAGCCCTCCGCCGCGAGCGCGAGGGCGATGCCCTGCCCTATGCCGCTGCTGGCGCCGGTGACGACCGCGACCTTGCCCTGCAGCGACATACACACCTCTGCGATCACCACGCACGCAGCCGCGAGCCGTCTTTTTACCAGGTTGCAACTCTTGTTCCGCACTCGGCTGTGAACGCTGCTGGTTGCCGCCGGTTGAGCTGCACCCCATCCCCGTCCACGTGGTAATTTCTCGCAGCCGCGAGACAAGTTTTCTCGGAGCGACAGCCTCAAAGACAAAAGGGTGGATGGGTGGGGGGTGATCGCTGGTGAGCGCCAGCGGTGAGCGCCAGCGCGCCCCAGGAACGGTGGGGTGCCCTCGACCGCGCGTCCAAGTCACTTGGGCGGACGAGCGAGCTGCACATGGCGTAACACAGACAGGGAGCCACTGGCAAAGTGCCCTGGCGGCAAAAGAAATTTGCAAGGAGGCGCCGTCTTTGCGTCAAACCGCCGTCGGCCTCAGCGAGGCCGTCGGCCTCAGACGCAAAAGCTGACGTCGGCCTGTGCGCGTCGCCAGTGCCTTCCTCTCTCACGTCGGCCTGTGCGCGTCGCCAGTGCCTTCCTCTCTCTCGTCGAACTAGGGAACGTTACTGGCCACCGTGGTGGAATTACATTTGGAGAGTAGATTTTAGGGGAGTCTTCCAAAGCCACACAGAAGCCCCGTGGGGGGTCCCCTGACCACACATTAAAATACCTTCCATGCGGGAATGGACCACCCGCCCACCCGGTCAACATCATGTGGGAGAACGCTGATACGTTGATGGCGCAAGCGCCTGCTGTTGACAAGTGGGGAACAGACGGCTTCATCGCGAAGCTGCCCCCAGCAGGCGTCTTGACGGGTATCAAAATTCTTCCCTACAAAAGAGGCCAACGGACCCGAGAAGGTAATTTCTCGCAGCTGCGAGACAAGTTTTCTCGGAGCGACAGCCTCAAAGACAAAAGGGTGGATGGGTGGGGGGTGATCGCTGGTGAGCGCCAGCGGTGAGCGCCAGCGCGCCCCAGGAACGGTGGGGTGCCCTCGACCGCGCGTCCAAGTCACTTGGGCGGACGAGCGAGCTGCACATGGCGTAACACAGACAGGGAGCCACTGGCAAAGTGCCCTGGCGGCAAAAGAAATTTGCAAGGAGGCGCCGTCTTTGCGTCAAACCGCCGTCGGCCTCAGCGAGGCCGTCGGCCTCAGACGCAAAAGCTGACGTCGGCCTGTGCGCGTCGCCAGTGCCTTCCTCTCTCTCGTCGAACCCACCACCGTCCCCTTTCTCCTCCTATCTGTTTAGTGTGTACTGCTGGGGGAACAGACGGCTTCATCGCGAAGCTGCCCCCAGCAGGCGTCTTGACGGGTATCAAAATTCTTCCCTACAAAAGAGGCCAACGGACCCGAGAATGTCGGTTGCTGCCCCATGTCCCGCACTCGGGGTGTGTGCTTCTAGCTAGCCCCGTTCTCGGGAGGGGGGGGGGTGGGTCTGTCTAAGAAATTTCTACATACACTACTGACACCGCAACCCTGTCAGCAGTCCACCTTTCGGGTAGCGCACCGTGATCCTCGTCGGCATCCGCGCGGGGGTGCCCTGCTGCCGGGCCTGCGCGGCCCGCCACGTAGGTGCGTTCACAGCGCCAATTTGTCCCCACGCTCTTCGGCTCGCTCCGCTCGCCGGTGAGTTGGTTGGTTGCTGGCAGCACCCCAGCACCGGGGGGTCCTGAGAGCTGTTGGTTGCCGCTCGATTCACAGCACATGGCCGGCGGTCTCACCTGTACTGGGTCGTCACGGCCTTTGGGGTGATCACCTACGCCGGGCTCGTGCTGCTGCACCAGTACGTGGAGCTTAGCGGCGGTGATTGAGTAGCGTTCACTTCTCGAGCTTGTAAATTCTCGAGCTCCTCTGTCGTCGGGGGCGCGGCGTGTTTGTTTTCTGGAGATTCTACCTAGATCCCAGTCTTCCGGAGCCGATCTCTATTCGAGCCGCTCTATTCTCTGTGATTAAGAACAGCTGTTTTTGTAGGTGTTTGCCCTTTCTGTTATTTGCGCAGCCCACGGTTCGTTTTTCGCCTGTCGCGTGAAACCGCTGTTTTCTTTTTCTCGGACGGAAGACGCCGAGCAAAGGCGGCTGCGTCCACTTCCACCGCTCGACTTTGCTCAGCCGCCAGGCCGGCCGCTCTCCGCCACACGCCTCCGCCCATCCGCCACACACACTGCCATACGCTCGAGGATGGAGCGTACCGCTTACAACTACGGCGACGACACGCCCGCCGCCTGGGACGTGCTCGCCCGGGGAGCGCTGGGTCGGCCCATCAGCACGCGGATCTCTCCGGTCCTCTTTCTCGAGGAGCTTAACGAGGCGCTGCTCTTCGCGCCACCGGTCAAGGCGCGGCTGGGACAGCGGCCCAAGCCCGCGGGGCCGGGCAAGACCAAGGCGCTAGCCGCCTCTTCGGTCGAGCGGCCAGAGGAGACCGAGCGGCGGCGGGCGGCGCAGAACGACTGCCGACGGCTCATCCTGCCTCGAACCGCGGACGAGGCGTCGGACGTGTTTCTGCGGCGCCTCGATGCGCACCAGAACGCGCCCGAGGCGCTCGTCGCCCCGCTCTCCAAGCCGGAGGACACCAAGTCGTTCCTCCGCCGGATGGTCGCCGTGAAGAAGAACGAGGCGGCCGGCCTGCTCGTGATGCCGCGTGCAAAGGCGGAGACGGCGGAGCAGTTCGAGGCGAGGATGGCGCTGTGCGAGGCCTGCCCTGCCACCGTCTTTGCGCGCGGCGCGCACGAAGACCCAACAGACTTCAAGGCGCGGCTCGACGCGCAATCAAAGTGCCGCAGGCCGATCATGTGTCGCAGCGACGGAGAGCCGGCGAGTCTCTTCCGGCGGCGGTGCGCGGTGTCGCGCGCCTGCCTGGACGTGGTCCACCCGTACGACGCGGCGGCCGAGCCTAGACGCTGAGTACAGACCCGTGTCCTCCTCGTAGCCCTCGAGAGGATACCCACCTGATCCAACAACCTCCTATCCAACAACCTCCTGATCCACCCGCACACAGCTGTACTCCATCGACTGTACTCGTGCCCACACGCCATGACCCTGGGTGCATTCGCACCGCAGGCGCGCGAGTCCGCCGACGACTTCACCCGCCGGATGGACGCGCAGGAGGGGGAGGCGCCAGGGCTGGCCACCCCAAGTACCGCGTGGCTAATGGTTCGTCGTGTGGGTCATTAGGAGGCGGCGCCGGAGCTGAGCATCGCGCCGGGCGACAAGAAGGTGGTGGGCGACTGCTTGAGTGGTTGGCGGCTGTGACTTCATATTGACTGATGGCAGGCGACAAGAAGGTGGTTGGCTCGCTCGTCCGCGAGTCCGCGGAGGAGGGCGCGGCGGCGCTGGCGGAGGAGATCGCGGCCAAGCTGAGGCTCGAGGAGGAGGCAAAGGCGGCGGCGGCCTCCAAGGAGGAGGCGGCCAAGGCGGAGGCGGCGGCGATCTCAAAGCAGCGGCAGCGGCAGGACAGCGTGGACGACGGGGCGGAGGCGGAGATCTCGGGCAGTCTCGGGTGAGCTCGGGTGATCTCGGCTAATAGGACAGCATGGACGACGAGGCGGAGGCGGCCAAGGAGGCGGAGGAGCGCGCGGCCAAGAAGGCTGCAGCGGCAGCGGCGGAGGCGGAGAAGGCGGCGGAGGAGGCGGAGGCGGCGGAGAAGGCAAAGGCGCTGTGGAAGAAGGCGGTGGAGAAGGTGGATACCCGTCTCCTCTGCGTGATCGGAAGAAGGCTTGCTCGGTGTGAGCCGGTCGCCGTACGCATAGGTCGACATCAATTCGATCGGGTTCATGGCGCTCAAGCAGATGCTCATCTCCAAGGGCGTGCCGCCCGACGCCGTCAAGGTGCCAAACAAGTTCATGCTCAAGGAGGTTGCGGCGAAGCACGGCGTCAACATCGAGTGGAGCTGAGCAAGCTCGGGCAAAGAGGGATCCAAAAATGCATCCCTCCCAGGCGTATCTACCCCCAGCTTCCCCGTCTGTGTGCGGGGGAGGAGCTAGGGGAGGAGCAGCGTTTTCTCTTGAGTGCGCACATGCAGAGAGGCCGTGAGATGTACACAAAACTATTGATTTCAGCCGGCCGGCGGAATGAGGACGCCGGTGGCAGTCTAGAGAACTCCGACAATGCGTGTGTACTGTATGGCACTGGAGTGTGCAGGGAAGCGTGTACGGTATTTTGCCTCACCATGTGTAAAAGGCGCTACGGCCTACGCAAGAAACACAACTCACAAGATGTTACTCTCTGAGTCACAGCCACCTAGGATCAACCTCCGCTAAGATCAAGTGCTGCGAGCGAGCGATCTACTGGCCCGCCCGCCGCGCCCCTTGCCACAGATCTTCTTGTGCGCCCCTTCCAGTCGCTCTTTTGGCACCCGACAGAGCAATACTCCACCTCGTGGCAACGAGCGCACTCCTTCAGACGGATTGAGGCAGAGGCGGCGGCACCGCAGGAGTGGCAGGTGTGCGAACGAGCACGCGGCCGGCCCGCTTCGCAGCACTGCGAGAGACACCTTGCCGAGCCCACGAATCGAGTTTTCGCGCTGAGCTGTCGCACCGCTCGCGCCTCTCTCGCGGCTGCGCGTAGGGGCGCGCTGTTGGGGGCGCGGACTGGCGCAGACTAGCACACACACCGGCACACCAGCAGCAATAATTTTACGCGGTCGCCCCTTTCTCCGAGTGTGGTCAGACTGATACACTGCGACTCAACGATTGAGTGCGGCCAGCGCACACAAAAGTCGCCGACTGCGGTCTGGCGCGGTGATCATGGGTGCTGGAGACCAGGCAGTATGAGCCTGTTGAGATCCGGGCGTCTTCAGGCCGGACAGGCCGGCTTGTTGTTGAAGCAGAGGGTGAGATGGTAGCCCTCAAGCTCTGCTGGCGGCACGCTGAGGGATCCGATACTTTCTCCATCGCACGCCTGCTCCACGCGCCCATTGGGCAGACTGAGGTGCTGAAAGGCGCTGGGAAATACCGCAAACAGGTCAGAGTCGCGGGTCAAACCGTTTGGAATATCGCGGATCAGCGCCCATGATCCGTTCAGCGGACCCTCCCTGTAATTCTCTGATTCCATGAGGAAGCTTGTTGGGAGGGAATCGACCCTACTAAAACCGGCTTTCCCGACTCCGGTGTCTTTGGCGTTGATCAGAACGCTGAGCCCGTAGTCATACCCGTCTCTTGTGTTCGTCTCTCCGGTGTCGCCGGTGTAGAAAAAGTTGTAGAACGCACCCTTCGAAATGTCGCCATTGCGGGGGTCGACCGTGAACTCAATCATCTTTGAACCGCCCGGGCATTTTGGGCCAGACACAGCAACCTCGATGGACCCCATCTCGAATTCGGCCTGTGTCAGTCCTCGCCCTGCGCCGGTCTCTCTGAGCGGCGTGAAGTTGCAGCGCTTGTTCAACGTGGGCTTTAGGACGTTAGTGTAAGCCGACTGGTCGATCCAATTGCAGTCTAGGAGCGGCGTGCACGTAGGGGGGGGCGCCCGGGGCTTGAAGGAGAGGGTGAGATGGTAGTCCTCAAGCTCTGCTGGCGGCACGCTGAGGGATCCGATACTTTCTCCATCGCACGCCTGCTCCACGCGCCCATTGGGCAGACTGAGGTGCTGAAAGGCGCTGGGAAATACCGCAAACAGGTCAGAGTCGCGGGTCAAACCGTTTGGAATATCGCGGATCAGCGCCCATGATCCGTTCAGCGGACCCTCCCTGTAATTCTCTGATTCCATGAGGAAGCTTGTTGGGAGGGAATCGACCCTACTAAAACCGGCTTTCCCGACTCCGGTGTCTTTGGCGTTGATCAGAACGCTGAGCCCGTAGTCATACCCGTCTCTTGTGTTCGTCTCTCCGGTGTCGCCGGTGTAGAAAAAGTTGTAGAACGCACCCTTCGAAATGTCGCCATTGCGGGGGTCGACCGTGAACTCAATCATCTTTGAACCGCCCGGGCATTTTGGGCCAGACACAGCAACCTCGATGGACCCCATCTCGAATTCGGCCTGTGTCAGACCTCGCCCTGCACCGGTCTCTCTGAGCGGCGTGAAGTTGCAGCGCTTGTTCAACGTGGGCTTTAGGACGTTAGTGTAAGCCGACTGGTCGATCCAATTGCAGTCTAAGAGCGGCATAACGGGAGGTTGGGGAGGGGACAACCCTGGAATCGAAGAGAAGGTTTGCGCCACCGGCAGCGCGAGGAGTCCTGCCAATGCACGGCCCATGCGGCTTGCCATGCGCGCTTGCCCGAATCGCGATTTTCATCTATTTTACGCACGACGCTGCCGTCGGTCAAATGAGTCAAGCGGCGAGGGAGACAAAAAGAGACATCGACATCGCGACGGCGACGAGGGGAGAGAGGAAAATGGCGAGAGCGCAGCCTCGGATGAACGAAGGATAGCGAGGTCTATCTTCCGATCCATCCACGACAGGTCCCTCCCTATCACGACCGACGTCGGACCACACGGCGTACTCAGTGTTGACTGATGCGCTACCGGTGGGTCCGCGAAGATGTACGAAGCCACGTCGACGGGGGCTGTGCGACCTGTGCGGCCTGCTCAGCGGTGTGAGAGACGCCACCTCGCCCTCGAATGTCCATACACCACACTGACCCTCGAGGCGGTACTCCGCGCAGTCCTGGAGAGCACGACCCTGGATGAAGCCTTGCTAGAGGAGGTCCGGGGCATGGGGAGGGAGCAGCTAGTCCACGAATACCGCCGCCTCTGCATCACCGGTTTCCGTCTGACCACGGGCAGAGGACAGATGGCTGAGGGGGCGACCCCTCCGGGGAGGCCGGCCTTCCCCGTGCCGGTTCTCCCCAACCATGACGGGTAGACGACCGCGGCTCGTGTGCGTCTACCCGTCTTTGTCCGCTCCGTGAAAAGTCCAACGCGCTCGTCGGTGACGGTGTCCTCCAACCTGCGCCGCGCTCGGCGAACCTCGACAGCGCTTTCGGTGGCATGCAGCTCTTTGCGCCTGAAGCCTTGAGAGCAGCTCCTCTGCTGCTCACACGCTCTGCACAGTTGGCACAGCCTACTGTGCGGCTGCCACAGCTGTGACAGCGATGGGCTCGCCCTCACTGGCCCTCAGTCACTTGTGCTGCGGCATGTGTGAGCGACACTGCTCGGCGACTGCCGGCACACTGTGAGACCATGGGTGTGAGGTAAAACCACGCTACCAGCGCTTGGTCACATCAGCCCCGAGGTCAGATCCTTCTCCTCTGTTGATGGTAACACTTGTCTACTCGCTGGAGCCGAGCAGGAGGGCCCGGCGCACAACCCCTGGTCAACTCACGGTCCCACACCCCGTATCTCGCCCTCACCCACGCCACACGCGGTCTGGAGCCCTCACAGGGAAGCACCGCCCGACCCCCGTGGCCCCGCCCCTGCAGACCCATCCGAGACCTCTAGACCCGTTCCGCCCTCTTACCTCGCCCCCCCTCACCACGCCACCAGCGGCGCCGTGCCGCCCTCCCCCGCCGCCGTCTCCGGAACCGCCGTCTCCGGCGCCGGCGACACCCGCACCTACCAAAACCGAAACCACGGGTCGAACAAAAAGAAATCGCCGTGCGCGGCGACGGCGAGGTCCCCACCTCTGAGAAGAGCCCCGCAGCGGCGTATGGGTCCTCGCCAGCCCACGCCCGCACCTCCTCCGCCGAGTCGCCAGAGACCAGCAGCAAGGTGCCCACCGGCTGCCCGCCGCCCTCGCGCAGAGGGCCGGCGAGGTGTACGCGTCCCGACGCCTTCAGCCAGTCGAAGGTGGCGTGGGGGAGGGGAGGGTGGGTTCTGGTACCGTGGGGTAGGGGGTAGGGTGGGTTCGGGTACCGTGGGGCAGGGAGGGTGGGTTCGGGTACCGGTGGGGGTAGGGGAGGGCGGCGCAGAGCGCCTTCAGCCAGTCGAGATGGCGCGGCCGCGTCGCCGTGCGCATCTCCGAGGCGCCGTCGCGGTCGAGGCAGTGGACAAGAAAGGCAGTCCCGCCGCCGCGCGGCACCCGCAGCTCCGCCGCCTCCGCCATCCCCCACTCGTGCACGCTCTGCTTGCCGTACCCGCCGCACGCCGCAAACGGGTCAGTGCTCGCCTGACCCGAGAGTACCCGAGATGTAGCCGAGAGAGACAAGCGGGTCAGTGGTCGCCTGACTCGCACTCGTTCACACCCGTGAAGCGAATCGCTGCCGCACGCCGCTAAAAGGTTGCAGCCCGAGATGCAGCCGAGATGCAGCCCGAGATGCAGCCGAGATGCGGGTGGCTGACTAGGTCCTCTGGTGCTCGCCCAAGCGCAGCGTCCGAGGGCGAGTCTGCTTAATTAACTAGTGCTCGCTTAGTTAATTAGTGCTCGCCCAGGCGGCGGCGTCCGAGAGCGAGTCGGCGCTACATCTCGGCTACATCTCGGCTATATCTCGGCTTCATCTCGGCTTCATCTCGGCTGCATCTCGCCCAGGCGGCGGCGTCCGAGAGCGAGTCGGCGCGGAAGAGGTGGAGGTGCGCCTCGACGTACGGCAACGCCTGTGTGACACACTCCTCCCCCGCCGTTAGGCTGCAGCACCATTCTACCCTCATCACTTCGCGTTGACTGCAGCGCCAGCCTGCGGCTCCATCCCCGCCAGCACTCCGGGCCTCGACCCGCCCTCGCCCTCGCCCTCGCCGCCGCCCTCGCCCTCGCCCCCGCCCTCGCCCTCGCCCTCGCCCTCGCCCTCGCCGCCGCCCTCCGCCAAGCGCGCGCGCGCCGCCGCCTCGAGCTCCTCGAGCTGCTCGTCGGTCAGCACCTAAGAGAGTCGGAGGTCAGGGCTGCGGTCACTGTGGAGCGCCGCCTCCGCCTCTTTTCCGCCGCTCGTCTCTGCACGCCAGCGCGTTGGGGTCGCCGTCGCCAGCCTCCGGCCCGCCGCCAGCCGCGGCGTCCGAGAGGAGGTAGTGCGCGTGGCAGATGGCGACGCCTGCTCACACACCCTCGCACCTCTCGTTGCACGACCCGCCTCCCTCTTCACACCGCGTGAAGAGGCAGCAAGGCGGCGCCGTCGCTGCGCGCGCGGCTCAGCCAGGCGGCGTAGCGCTGGGAGAGAGCGGGCGAGGGGGCGCAGCCGGGGAGGTACTCGGCGAGGCACGCGTACAGCGGCCGCGCATCCTCCTCCTCCTCCTCCTCGCCCGGGACCGGCGGCCCGCGGATCGGAGACAGGTCGATGTCGTTGCCGAGCGGCGTGCTCAGGTCGACCCAGCTGGCCTCCTCCTCGTCCGCGCCGCCCTCGCCCGCCTCGGCGCCCTCCACGGGCGTGTCCGACCCGTCCTCGAGCGGCGGCAGCGTCGCCGGCGGGCCCGCCGCCCGGAACTCGGCCATCCGCCTCTCAAACTCCTCCTCCTCGGGCGTGAGCATCGTCGCGGCGCTGGCGGCGCGCCAGCCGAGCGCGCCGACCACCGGGCCGCCCGCGGCGCGAGGGGCGCAGCGGAGGGCGGCGGCCGACTGCACCAGCAGGGCGGCGGCAGCGCAGCGGAGCGCCGTCATCGAGATGGTGGCGACGCGTGGCGAGCTCCACAGCCCCAGGCTGATGGCAAAAAAAGAATTCTCCTGTATTTTCTTTTTTTCGCGCGGCGAGCTGGCAAACAAGAAAAGAAGGCCGCCACGCGCACACATTCGCTCGCACTCCGCCACTCTGACACGCACAAGCCTACGCACGCTCAATTCTAAAACCTTCCTTTAAGACCTGTGTGCAGGAAGCAAAACCTCTGTAAACCACCACGCCGCACAAGCACCCAACATATCTGTCCTGCCCATCTCTGCCTCATGAGTCGTTCATTTTTTTGTCATGTGCCTGTGTGGGCAGTGTTCTGCTCGCAGGGGCTGCACGGGGCCGCAGGACGCCTTCTCTAGGAAGGGAGGGAGGGCAGGTACACAATGCAATCCCCCTGCAGCCAGCTGGAGCAATTGTTCTATTTCATTTTGAGCTTAGCCTTCGATGTTATGAACAAACGCAAGGCGGACATGGCATATCGCTCTCGGCATATTTCATTTTTAAAATTAATGTGGTTGGTCGGGTGCGTCGGCGCATGTGGTTAGAGATACATCTAGAGATACTTCTGCATTTTTCTCTTTCCGCACGCACCCCGAATTCTTTTTCTCGAGCTCTCAACCGCCTCCCGCCGAAGCACCACTCTCTCGCCTGCCCATGCCCGACGAGCCAGAGGCTGCTGAGCCCGCCGGCGAGGCGGGCCTCTCGAAAACGAGCAGAAGCGGAGCGCAAGGTTCGTTTCTCTTTTTCTGCCGTTGGAAGCACCTGCCGGCTCGCGGGAATGGTGGGTGCCGTCGACAAGACGCTCGTGCTCGAGCTCTCCGGCGGTCGCCACTTCCCGCCCGCGCCTCCCGGCACGGGCTTCGGCGTCCGCTGCCAGCTCGTCGGCCAGACTCGCTCCTCGTGCGTCGCTCGAGGCGGCGCGTCGCCGTTCTGGGGCGATGTCTTCTCGTGGGAGGTGTCGAGTGCGCTGCTGCGTGCGCTGCGGTCGGCCTCGCCCGCGCTCCGGCTGCAGGTCTTTGCGGTGCGCGGCGAGGGCGCAGACGCCATCGAGTCGCCGGTCGGACACGCGCTCATACCGCTCAAGGGCGCGGCGCTGCCCGGGAAGGGCGCAGCGCAGGTGTGGCACAGGCTGGTGGCTGCGTCGCCTTCCCGCGGAGAGGCGGCGCCGCGCAGGCCGCCCGAGGTCTGTGTGCTGCTGAGGGCCGTCGACGAGCCGGCGGAGGTGGAGGTGGATGCCCAAGCGACTCCGGAGCCATCGTCGCAGTTGCTGCCGGCTTCGCCGCCGTCGGCGGTGCTGGACGGTGGTGGCGGTGGCGGTGGCGGCGGCGGCGGCGGCAGCGGCGGCGGTGGCGAGTACCCTGGCGAGGGCGAGGGCGAGGGCGAGGGCGAGGGCGAGGGCGAGGGCGAGGAGGATCCGGCGAGCGAGACTGCGACTGAGCTGACGCCGCACAGCTTTGGGCGCAAGGCGCGGCTGCTGAGCAATGAATATAATGACTAATTAGCATTGATTATTGAGTAGTACTCGTTTGGGCGCGAGGCGCGGCTGCTGAGCGGCTTGCAAGCGGGCGTGGCGGAGGAGGCGGAGGAGGCGGAGGAGGAGGGGGCGAGCGGCGAGGGCAGTGTCGAGGCCACAGCGGCCGAGCTCGGCGGAGCGGGCGGTGGCGAGGTCGACGGCGGCGGCGGCGGTGGCGACGGAGGCGGCGGCGGCGACGGCGGCGGCGACGGCGACAGCGGCGGCGGCGGCGAGGGCGGCGGCGGCGGCGGCGAGGGCGGCGAGGCTGCAGCGGCGCCTGCCGGGCCGTTGTTTGCGACGCGGGACCAGGCGATCGAGATCAATGAAGTGATTAACCCATTGATTGGTATGTTAATCGGCGCCGTTGTTTGCGACTCGCGAGCAGGCGATCGGCGTCCTGCGCGAGCAGCTGGCGGAGACGCGGCAGGCATTCCTCTCGAGTTGCTACACAAGCATGAAGAGATAGAACCGATGTATGTAAGGAATGGCGGCTGGCGGAGACGTTACTCGCATGATTTGCAGCGTTGATACACACTAAGACACCTCAACTAATGTGATGAGCGTGGACATGAGTCGCAGCTGGCGGAGACGCGACAGGTGCTGCGAGGGGGGCGGTCGGCAGCGGCGCTGGTGCGGAGTCTCGCGACTCCGGAGAAGGCGGAGAACAGGGAGGAGGAGGAGGCGGCGGCGGAGGAGGAGGAGGAGGAGGAGGAGGAGGAGGAGGAGGAGGAGGAGGAGGGGCCTTCCGAGGCTGGCCGCGCCAAGGTGAGCTGGTGCCGAATCACTGTGCGGTGAATTAGAATATCTTCTTTACCACCCGCCGTTGCCGCGCAAAGGTGAACGCCCTCCTGCAACAGCAGCGCCGTCGCCGAAAGCAGGCCAGCCTTGACCCAGCGGCGAGGGCGGCGAGGGCGGCGGTTGCGCCGCCGCAACGCGCGGTCGCGGTGTCTCCTCGGACTTTCTTCGGTTTGCCTGCTTCGCCGCCGTCGCCGCCGAAGCCAACCGACGCGCCTCCTCCTCCTCCTCCGCCCGCTGCTGCAGAGGCGTCGCCGCGGAAAAGCGAGGCGACCCCACCGCTGTGCGAGTTCGTTTTGCGGTTGCGCCTCCCCCGCCCCTCCGCCCTGGCGGCGCTGCTTGACGTGTCGGAGGATGCGGCGGCGAGCGTGGTGCCGCGGCTGCAGTGGAGGGGGGGCGAAGCTGGCGCTCTGGCGGGCGACGCTGACGGCGAGCTTCAGACCTCGCTGCTGCGATGAAAGGACAAGCGGGCATATGGTTTCTCATTAAGAGTTGTGGGGTTGTTTCTGATCTAGGCGAGCTTCAGAACCTTGCTGCCACACTTCATCCGTGAATTTGCCTTCTGACCGCGCCTCTCGTCTCCAGGCGAGTTCCAGATCTCGCTGCTGCTGGAGGAGCAGCTGCACTCGCTCCTCGACCTCACCCAGCCAGTAGTAGATTATTAACTTCTACTGAGGAGTGACAGGAGGAGCTGCACTCGCTCCTCGACTCGCTCGCAGAGTCTGCTGGCGGCGGCGGCAGCGGAGGCGGAGGGGCGTGGACCGCCTCCCGAGGTCTCGAGGCTGCGGCTCTCTCGCCGGCGCCTCTTGCCGGCGCTTCACTCCGCGGGTGGTAACGGGTCGTGGCCAGTCAGCTCTCACTCATTCGTAGGTGCCTCTGCTCACGCTGCACTCCGGCGCCTCCGACGCGCCCCTCGCCGTCGCCCCGCTCCCAGTCTCACGCCTCGCACGCGCCGCCGACGGCGCCACGTTCGACGGAGAGGTCGACCTCGGCGGCGGCGGCGGCGTTGATGGCGGAGGCGATGGCAGTGGCGGCGGCGGCGGCGGTGGCGGCGCGTCGGCGCGGCTGGGCGTGTTCCTGAGTGTGCGAGAGCGAGATCCTTCCGAGCTGCAGCGGCGAGACACCGACCCGCGCGTCTGCTAACCAGCAATGACTCCATGAGTGCCTATTGACTTGATCGCCTCTCCAGGCGAGACACCGACCCGCGCGTCTGCTTCCTCGTGCGGCTGCGGCTGCTCTCGCTCACACTGCTCCGCCCTCCAGGCCCGCGACTGCCCCCGCGGGACCAGGCACGCTAATGGTGAAGAGTTGAGGGGTCGATGAGCCTGAGTCAGGCCCTCGACCTCCTCCGTGGACCAAGCACGGCGATGGCGAGACAGTCTGGTGACACCTCCTAGCCACTTTTCAGACACCTCCTAGGCACTTCCTAGACCAAGCACGGCGATGGCAGTCCCTCGTTGGTAATGAGTCCAGTCGATTGGTCGATGTGCACCAGGTGCGCCGTGCGGCGTAATCTCGGGGAATCTCGGGGAATCTCGGGGAATCTCGGGGAATGATGTGCACCAGGTGCGCCGTGCGGCGGTGCGAGTTTGCTGGCTGTGCGGCGCACGCGTCCCCGCCGGTGCAGTGCCTCCGCGGCCACCCGGCGTCGCTGGGAGGAGAGGAGCTGGCGCTGCCGCTTCCGAACCCGCCCTTCACGCCAAAGGCGGCGCTGGGCTGTGAGCTGTCAAGGAGGCGTTCTTTCGAGTAACCCCCACCCCCCTCTCCTTCCTTCACGCCACAGGCAGCGCTGGAGCGGCTGCGGAGTCAGCCGATGCGACTGGAGCTGCGGTGCGGTTCTGCGCGGGCGGACGCCTCCTGCGGCGGCGATGAGGAGGGGGAGGGGGAGGGGGGGCGGGGGGGCGAGGTTGCCGCGGCGCGACTCAGCCTGGCCGACATCTGCGGAGGAGCTCTCGTGCCGCTGTCTGGTGCGGCGGGCGAGGCGGCGGGCGAGGCGGCGACTGCGGCGGCCACTGCACCCGTCCGGCACAGCCTAGACACTTCCTAGACACTTCCCAGACACTTCACAGACACTTCCTGTTCCTTGCTCAGGCGGAGCCTCGACTTCCTCGACGTGGGGAGCGGACGGCTCTGCGCGCGGCTGCAGCTCGAGCTGACGCTGCAGTGTGTCTTCTCCCCAAAGGCCTTCTCCCCCGCCGCCGCGCCGCCGCTCGCCGCCCCCGCCCCTCCTCGCCCCGCCGCTCCGATGCCGCCTCTGCCTCTCCACCCTCCCCGGCGATACGGCGGCGGCGGCGGCGGCGGCGGCAGTGGCGGCGGCGGCCTCAGGTATCGTTTTGCAATTGAGGTCCGCACGGCGCGAGACTTGGGCTCGCCGCTGGCGGGGCAGGGGCAGGTGTACTGCCGCTTCCTGTACCGGCTCCTCGAGGTCGGCGGGGGAGGAGGAGGGGGCGGCGGAGGAGGAGGAGGGGGCGGAGGCGGGGTGGTGTGCTCGCGCCCTGTGCGCTCGTCTCCTCCGGTGCGTCTTCCCGAGCATGGCGGAGGGGACCACTCCTTCGCGCGTTGCGAGTTGGTTGTGGCTGGCTGTGACTCAGGTGCCGCTTCCCAAGCACGGCGAGGTTTCTCTGCCGAAGGGCGGCTGCGTGTACGACTTTGTGTGCGCGCCGGCGGCGCTCCTCGACACGCTGGCGCACGAGCCGCTTCTCGTGGAGCTGTGGCACACGGACAAGTACGCGGCCGGCTCGAAGAAGCGACTACTCACCCGTGCTTTCGTTGACCACCCCCAGGCACACGGACAAGTACGCAGCCGACAGCCTCCTCGGCATCGCCACAGTCGACCTGGCGGAGCTCATCGGCGTCTCGCCGCGCGCTCTCGGCCGCACCGCCGCCGCCGCGGGCGGCGGTGGCGGCGGAGGCGGCGGCAACAGTGGGTTTGCTATGACGGTGCGAGAGCTCGAGGTAGCGCCGGGCAGCCCTGATTCATGGCTGCACCAAGCGCCTTCTCTACTCAGGTGCGAGAGCTCGACGTCGTAGCGCACGTGCGCCCCTCGCGCGCCGCCGCCGCCTCCGCCTCCGCCTCCTCCGCGCTGCAGGCCGGAGAGCCGACGCGTTAATGAACTACTTAATCAATTAGTTGATTAGTTAAGTAAAGCGTTGCAGGCCGGAGAGCCGACGCGGCAGGGCGGGGCGGCGGGCGGCGCGGCGGGGCGGAGCAAGGCGTCCGGGCGTGTCGCGCTGCTGCGGGTGGGTCTGCGGCTCGAGGAGCTAGGCCCTCCCCCGCCCCCGGCTCTGCCCGCCCCGCCCCCCTCTTCTCTCTCGCCGCCTTCGCTCGGCGCTTCGTTCGGCGGCGGGGTCGGGCGCGGCGGAGGAGGAGGAGGCGGAGGAGGAGGCGGCGGAGGAGGCGGAGGAGGAGGAGGAGGAGGAGGTGGAGGAGGAGGATGGTTCGCACCTTCGCCGAGTGCGGGAGTGCCGCAGGCGGCGGCGGCGGAGGCGGCGCTGCTGCAGTGGCGGCAGCGGGAGGAGGAGAGGTGGCGGGGCGCGCTGAAGAAGAGAGAGGGCGAGGTGCTGGCGGCGCTGGGCAAGGAGTGGGAGGCGAAGGAGGCGGAGCGCGAGAGAGCAAGCGCCAGGCAGCGGCGCGGCCTAGCGGCGGCGGAGGCGGAGCTGCGCGGCAAGGTGGCAGAGCTGGAGCGGGAGCAGCGGCGGATGAGGGGTGTCGAGGCGGCGCTGACTGCCAAGGTCGCGGCCGCGGAGCAAAAGGCGGCGCACGAGGCGGCGCTGCGGCAAGCGACGCACCAGGGCGAGCTGGCGGCGGCTCAGGCGGCGCTCGGCCAGGCGAGCGGCAAGGTTGCGATGCTGGAGGAGCGGTTGGCGGCGGCCGAGGCGCGGGAGGTGAGGCAAGAGGAGGAGGCGAGGGCGACGCGGCAGGCGGAGGCGGCGGCGGCGGCCGAGGCGCGGGAGGTGAGGCAAGAGGAGGAGGCGAGGGCGACGCGGCAGGCGGAGGCGGCGGCGGCGGCAAAGGCGGCGGCGCTGCAGGCGGAGACGGCGCGGCTGGAGGTGACGCTGCACGAGGCCCGCGCGAAGCTCGACGGCGCCGTCTCTGCCGCCGAGCAGCGCAAGCAGCAGGCGCTCGCGGCGCACCGCGACCTGCAGAGGCTCGAGGCGGAGGTGCGCGAGTCGGAGTCGAAGTAGTTCATTAATGAATTGCCTCGTCTTGAGGTGCGCGGGTCGAATTAATTTATGAACTAAATTGCCTCGTCTTGAGGTGCGCGAGTCGGAGTCGGCGCGGCTCCGCTCACAGCTGCTCGACGAGAGGTGCGAGAAGGAACAGCTGCAGCTGCGGAGGCAGGCGGACCAAGAGCGGGCTTCACTTGCTGCTGAGGCGGCAGAGGTGCAGAGACTCAAGGCGCAGCTGTCTCAGCTTATTATTATTATTATTATTATTATTATTATTATTATTATTATTATTATTATTATTATTATCTCAAGGCGCAGCTGTCTCAGCTCGAGGCCGCAGCCCCACCACAGCCCCCTCTGCTGGGCATGGGAGGCGGAGGCGGCGGAGGCGGAGGCGGAGGAGGAGGAGGAGGCGGAGGAGGAGGAGGCGGCGAAGGTGCACTTGCAGGCGTGGCAAAAGGAGGCGCGAGGGGCGGCTCGGGCGCCGCGGGCTCGAAAGGCAGAGGCGGCTTCTCTCCCGCCGCCGCCGCCAGAGGCTACAGCGGCGGCGGCGGCGGCGGGCGCGGGCGTGGGGCGGTTGGCGCCGCGGCGGCTGCTGCCACCGCCGCAGAGGGCGGCGAGGCGGCGCGGCTGCAGAAGCTGTGCGACGATTTTGTGGCGTCGGGCCTGTACTCGCGCGGCGACCGCGTGCTGCTGCTGCTGCAACAGAGGGCCGACGCGCTGCGCGGGCAGGCGTCCGCGGCGTGAGGGGGGGGGGGGGGGGGTTGCGGCTCTGGTGGGTCTTGGAAGGGGAGAGGGCCATATAAGAGTGTCTTTCGATTGACAACTTCGGCAAAAACCGCGGGGCGGGGGTTCTTTTTTTACACGTATTCCATTGTATCTGGAGGCACTCTCTGCCGGCACCAACTTGATTCCCGCGGGATGCGCGTCTCCCCCTCCCCCTATGTGACGCCACCCCCCTCCAATCCGTAATTCCGTAAAATCGCGCGAAAAGCGCCCTAATCGAGCTGGAGAGCGGCCCCCAGCCGCATGGGAGCGTGCCCCAGCTAGCAGGAGGCGTTAGACGTACTTTTCGGCGTGAACAAGGACTTTCGGCGACGTCCGTTCCCTTGGACACGTGACAAATGGCACCGACGCAGCTCAGCATTGTGCTGGAGCGCATGCTCAACGAACTCGGGATAGCCGACCTCAGTACGTTCGAGGCTGTGCTCATGCACGATACAGGCGCAGTGGTCGACGCGGTCCGAAGCACCGCTGCAGCCGCAGAGGCTGGTGCGGCGGCTTATGCCAGCTCGGCCACGAGCAATGTTGTTGTGTCCCCAGGCAGCACTGCTACCGCTGGCGTAATCTCTGTGCAGCACAAGGGCAGCTTCTCCCGCACTCTCGTCAGCACAGACGCGCAAACCACGCTAAAGGGCTCGGACATCCATGCAGCCGCGAGTAGTGCGACTGCTGAGATGCTGCTCCGGCAGGAGTTGGAAGAGAAGTTGCGGTCACAGACCAAGGAGCTCGCTTCTGAGCAGCGCTCTGCGAACGCTATGAAGAAGGCGCTCGCGTCGGCGCGGGATGAGCTTGCTGCGGCACAAGAGCTGAGGCGCTCCGACTGCGACAACCTGAGGAGAGCGCAGCAGGCTGCTAAACGCGACATCAAAGCGGCCGAGCGGATGGCCGACCAGGCAAATCATGCAGCTCGAGCTGAGTGTGAGTGGCGTATCGGCGAGATGCGGGCCAAGATGCAGACCGAGCTGCGCGAGCAGCTCGACGCGCTGCAGATTTCGATGGAGGCAGAGGCGAGGCGCGCTGATGCCGCAGAGGCGGAGAGGTCACAAGGCTGTACGACAAGATGGAGGGGATTATGCGCACGCGTGAGGGGTTGATAGTCGCACTCGCAGAGGCGCAGCTCGGCAAGCACGAATATAGTGATTGTTAAGAGATATACGTAGCGTTACAGTCGTACGGTCGTCGACCCTCCCACCGTGTGGGCCGCCCGGACCCCGGAGAGCGCTGCGCGTGCAGACAGCGCTGCGCGAGCATTGGAGAGGCCAGCCCCCGGCTTCTCAGCAAGTCGCGAGTGCTGTGTCTCTGCCTGCCTGGTAGCTGGGTGTGGTGGGGGACTCTCTGGTGGCTTTTGGTTACAAATTTACGGATTTACGGATTTACGGATCCACCCCCCTCCCTCCCCGTCCCGTGACCCGGCCGTGAGACGCGCATCCGGGAATCAAGTTGGTGCCGGCTGGACTGGGGTACACCGAGAGGGGTTCAACTATCAGCCGCTTGTCTCGACGACTCGGCCATGATCGGTCAGCTGCTTGTGCTCGCCAGTCTGCTGGCCACAACGTCGGCCTTTGCGTCGTCCCCAACCGATCCGTGCGTCGCGTCGCCGCCGCCGACGGCGCCAGCGGCGCCTCACAAGAAGACCGCTTTCATCCATGTCGACATCCAAAAGTGCTTCACGAACGGGCCCCCGAAGGGTATCGATAACGACTACGCCTACTGCAACCCGCCGGCAACCGGAGGTACCGACAATTGCACCCGTCTTGGATCGCTCGGCGTGGCAGAGGGCGCCACGATCGTCCCGGCGGTCAACGACCTTCGCCACTCGTGCCTGTTTGAGGGCGTGTTCCGTTCCCAGGACTACCATCCAGCGGATCACATCAGCTTCGCCTCGCGCCACTTCGGCGAGACGCCCTTCTCCTTCGCCGACGGCCCCCTACCCTTTGTCGGCTACCCGATCGAGTTGGCGTGCACCAAGAACTCGACGGAGGAGATCAAGGACGTGGCGTGCTGCCTCGTGGACGCGGCGCAGCCGGCGTGCATGATCGGCGCGAACGGGACGACCGTCTGCACGCAGGACACCGACCCGGAGAACCCCGCGTGCTCCGCCTGTGTTGGCCCCGACGCGAACTGCACCAAGATGATGCAGGGCATGTGGACCGACCACTGCGAGCAGGTGTACCGCATCCCACGCCGGAATTCTCGACCACCCCGTCGCCCGCCCCCCCCCCCCCACAAGCTCTCACCACCCCGGAGCATTCGTCCACCCTCGTTTCAGGGCGGCGACTCTGGCTTCGCCACTGGCCTCGAGGTCGACGATGACGACGTGATCCTGCAAAAGGGTAAGAACCCGCACGCGGACGCGTACTCGATCTTCATGGACAACCCGCGGCTGCACTACACACCGCTCAACGACATGCTCCAGGAGGAGGGGTTCGAGGTGTGTGCTCCACCGCCGCGCGGGCGCACACACACACACTCTCACTCACCGCTCACCCACGCGCACTGGGCCCTACAGTTTTGAATGCTGTCCTTTAGACGTGGAGTCGCGAGGGTTGCCCCCCCCCCCCCTGGGTGTGGAGAAATTTAACTTACCTTGCCTGAGAATACAGGTAATCTACATCGCCGGGATCCCATTCGACTTTTGCGTCTACTGGACCGCCATCGACGCCATCCGCCTCGGTTACGAGGTCAGGCGCACTAGTTGTTTCAGCCTAGACACTATATCCAAGCACTGTGTATGCTCCTCTCCAGAGTGTACCACACACACAACACAACGCGGTCTTCTCACACGAGTCCGAGTCACATCCTTCTCCACGAGAGAGCTCCACGAGAGAGCGTAGCGTGCGGACACGCCCCCCCCCCCCCCGCACCTCCCCCTCCTTTCCCTTAGGTATACGTGGTCGAGGACGCTACCGCATCGATCGGAGTGCCCAACGGCGACAACACCACCTCCGTCGACACGGCCAAGGCGGACATGCTGCTACAGGGCGTCAAGTTTGTGTCCACCGAGGAGGTGCTGACGTCCACACGCACGCACACACGCACACACACACACACTCACACACACACACACACACACACACACACACACACACACACACACACACACACACACACACACACACACACACACACACACACACACACACACACACACACACACACACACACACACACACACACACACACACACCTCACCCACGCGCACCGGGCCTTGCACTTTTAATGCCGTGACTGTCTTCTAGACGTGGAGTCGCGAGGGTCGCCCCCCCTTGTCCCACCACCTTGTGCGTCCGTGTGGAGAAGCTTACCAATATCCTTACCTACCTTACCTTAGGTGCTGACGTCGGAGTGCCCAGCTGGGACGGAGAACATGTGGACGTCTCGCCGCAACCGGCGCAAGTCTCGCCGCTTGGTCGAGAAGTATGGCAAGGTGGTCACCCTCTGGTGAGAACTTAGAGCCGCCCTGTTGATTTCTGCGTGCCGCCGCCAGCGCCACACCACATGCAGCCCCGATCGATGGCATCATGATCATCGCGCCGCGGACGGCTCCTGTGACCTCGGTGGCTCTCGGCAGTGTAGGACCCATGGCGTGCTCAGTCAGCCGTGAGGCGGAGGCAGGCCGAGTGAGCGCGAGCTGCGCGGGAGGCCATGTCCCGCGCACCGGCGAGCGAGCAGCACGAAAGAGTGCTAGTCGCGCATCGCGAAATCCGTTTCAACGCAGGGAGCTGTGTGCTGTAGAGTTTTTTATATTCCCCGCCCTGTCCACGGACAGGGCGAGTGACGGTTGGCAGTTATCAGTTGTGCGGCCGTCGCCGCGGCTCGTCTCTGCCGCGGCGGCTGCTGCGCGCTCGCAGCGGCGCCGCTCTCTCGAGCGACGGCTGGCGCCGCGGCTCGCCGCCGAGACGCGCGCTGCGCTCGCACGACCATCCGCGGCGTGGCGTGCGCGGAGCTGCGCGCCGCTCTGCGAGCGCTTCTGCGGGCGCCTCATGCTGCACTGCTGTACATCATCCTGCACTGCTGGATTGGACTGCGTTGGTCCTCGAGGAGACTGCGCGGTGCTCTACGCGGAGGTCTGCGAGCGTCGATCGCGCACGGCAGGCGGATTGCGGGCTGCGTGAGAGCGGCAGGCGCTCTCCTCTCTCTGCTGCTGATGCTGCTGCTGCTGGTGCTGGTGCTGCTGGTGCTGATGCTGCTGCTGGTGCGGCGCGGCTCTGCGACTCGGCTCACCGCGCGCGTCGCGGGAATCTGACGCGGTGGGCGGCGTCGAGAGCGGCAGCGGTGGCGGCTCAAGGGTGGAGGCGGTGGCTGGAGGCTGTGGTGGACTTTGAGTTTATTTAGGGGTCGAGTACGCGGGCCGCCGGCGAGCTGCTGCCGCGCATGCTGCGCTGTGGGCTTCGCAATCGTGTCCTGAGTACGTCGCCGACGCCACCTGCCGCTCGCAGCTGCCTTGGACTTCCCTGCCATCAGGCAAACACACAGACACACACACACAAACACACACACGTTATTAATCGGGTAATAATTATTAAATATTAATCATCGGGCGGGGGCGCGGCGCGGCGGCGAGCGGCGCGAGGCGGCGGCGCGGCGAGGCAGCGGGCGGCGCAGGGCGGGGCGGCGCGGCGGCGGATGGGGTAATTAATTATTTGTTAATTAATTATTACTTAATAATCATCGGGCGGCGGCGCGGCGCGGCGGCGGGCGGGGCGGAGCGGGGCGGCGAGACCATCTGCAGTTACCGGGCCTCTGGTCATTGGAGAGCGGCAATGGTCGCGCCGCCCTCGACTCAAGGGGCTGCCTTCCACCGCCGCTGCTCAGGCCGGGGGAGGGGGGGGGACCTCCTGTTCCTCGCGGAACGGGAGCAGGCCCCTCCTTGCCCGGTCAGGAGGCAGGGCGGTGGACGTGCCATCGTCGCTTCGTACTCGAAACCACGACGCCGCAACCGTCGCCGGCGCGCGACACGATCTCGTCGGCCGGACTGTCCTCGTCGAGTGTGTGCCGCCAAGGCGGGACGCACTCAGGGACAGTGGCGACGAGACGCGGCTCAAGGGGCGGCCCCCGCGAAGGCACGGCTGGCAACCGTGGCGCGGGGCTCTTCCTCTAAAAGTCGGGTATGGCTCCGCCCGCAACTCTCTCGCTGACACGCGCGCCCGCCGACCTTACGACGGGTGCGCTGAGGTCGCACGCCTCCCAAGTCATATGCCACGGCGTGCGATCTAGAATCAGCACACGCGCCTCTGCTTGCATACACTCATACATTGGATTGTCATTGCCTGTGAGTGCGAGAAGGGCTAGCCCGTGAGGAGGGCGTCCATAGACACCTCACTAGACCCCACACATGGTCTCGTCCGTGCCTCGCCGGCCGGTGAGATTGCTAGAGGTGGAGCAAGCCCGCTCTAGCCTCGCATATCACTTCCTGTCGTGCCTGGCTGTTCTTCACCTTACTACCTACCTACCTCCACGGAGCAGACGCACGGCGGCACGGCCTTCTACCAGCTGCAGGAGGTGCGCACCTCCCAGTGGAAGCACAGGATGCTCCCTCCGTATACGCAGCTTTGCACAGCGCAGCGCACGGGCTACGCCACGCAAAGCCGACCCTCAGTCTGGCCAAGAGGCTGTCTGCGGAAGGCCTGGCAGCACGTACTCGCCTCCTCCGCGGCCATGCCCTCCGCCCGGGCGAGCGAGGAGCGGGGACACAACCATTTCTGGAATCGTGTAGGTAGGTAGGTAGAAAGGTGAAGAACAGCCAGGCTCGGACTGGACACCAACGCGGTATGGGTGGACGCAAGACAGATGATGACGACACGCACGAACGACACACAGACACAAACAAGCTCACAAGACACACAGCCAGCTGGCTGCCACACACCCTGAGTTGGCGTACACATAACTCAGGGCCACATTCCTCCTGTCGCCCCCCCCAGCACTCCAAGGTGCCAAGAGAAACAAACAAGGGCACAACATCACAACAGACGACAGGAGGTAATATGCGAGGCTAGAGCAGGCTTGCTCCACCTCTAGCAATCTCGCCGGCCGGCGAGGCACGGACGAGACCGTGTGTGGGGTTAGTGAGGTGTCTATGGTCGCCCTCCTCACGGGCTAGCCGCCAGCGGCCAGCCCTATCTCGCACTCACAGGCGATGACAATCCAATGTGTGAGTGTATGCAAGCAGAGGCACGTGTGCTAATTCTAGGCCGCACGTCGTGGCACTATGACGAAGGTAGACGTGCGGCTGCAGCGCGCCCGCCACAGGCTCGGCGGTGCGCGCGTGTTAGCGATAAAGTTGCGGGTAGAGCCGTTCCCGACTTGTCGAATGCGAGGCCTCTGCGACGAGTGTGTCCCCGAAGAAGAATCGTGAGCGAGACTTGTTTTGTTTTGTTAAATTCTCCGCGGACCATCGATCGGCGATCGGACCGATGCCGCCGCCCTCCACGGCCTGCTCCTCGCCGGCTGACCTCGCCCCGCCCGGGCACTGGTGCAACGGCACGCAGCTGGTCCGCTCCTCGGAGCCCCCGCAGACCCTAGTCCGACGCGGACTTAGCGGTGCCGGCGACGCAGACGGCGCAGACGACAGCCTGTTCCCCTCGGCTGCCATCCACGGACACGGCTCTCGCCGTCTCGAGGCTGGCGGGTGCTGCTGCCAAATCTGCCAAGGGGAGTGTGCGACCAGGTCACTCCTCACTCGTCAGACGCCTGCAGACACCTCCTCGCTCGCTTCGGTTCCCGCGCCCCTCGCTGCCTCCGCCTGCCGCTACCCACTGAACTCACCCCCCCACACACACAGCCTTTCGTACGACTGCAACACCTGCACGGGCGCGGCGACTCCTTGGTGCGGGGGGTGCTACTGGAAGGCGAAAAGCCACTTTGAAGACAACGGCGCGGGCCGCTAGAAGTCTGTGTCCCAACCAGCGCTGGCGAGGGCACGTGCTCAGCTGCACTGTCCTCGCAGCCCTCGCACTCACGCGGCGCCTGGAATGCACTGCACAGTACCGCCTTCCCGTCCTGACGTCGGCGTACTCTCCACGCAGGCGTGTGCTACCCGTCGCCGCCTGCGCCGCCGTCGCCGCCCTCGTCCCCGCCCTCGCCGCCCGCGTCGCCCTCGCCGCCGCGTCCTCTCTTTCTTCCGCCGCGCACCGTGACACCTCCGCCACCTCCGTCGCCGCCGCCCTCCCCGCCGCCCGGCGAACCCTCCTCCGCCGTCCCCCGCTCCTCTGCGTTTCGCTTCTACGACAGCGACACGTCGCTAATGCTCCCGTCGGTCTCTGTCGCGGCGAGAGTAGCCGAGAGTAGCCGAGAGGAGCCGAGAGGAGCCGAGAGGAGCCCAGAGTTGCCGAGAGGAGCCGAAATTTTCCGAATTTTCTGAGAGCAGCCGATGTATGGAGAGGTAGCCGAGAGGCAGCCGAGAGGGAGCCGAGAGGGAGCCGAGAGGAGCCGAGAGTATCTAACCTAGTCCTGCTAGCTCATTGGACATGAGCAGGCGGCCCTCGTCCTCATCTTTCTGATGGTGGGGTGGTGCCGCCGCCGGGGCGTGTTCCGACGGTGCCAGCTGCGCCGCCGCGGCCTTGCGTGCTCATACCCGAGTCTTGGCTCATCCATGGTCACTTCTCGCCAGGCAACGGCTGCCAGGGGCGGGAGAGGCATGGCTGCGTGACCCAGCCACTGGGCGGACTATGAGTAGGTACCAGCTGCGCCGCCGTCCCCAGCACGCAGCAGAGGGCTACGGCGGCGCGTACCCCTCCACCAACCCACGCGAGCTCAAGGCGCTCTACGCCACCCTCCCCTACCCCATGGTACCCGAACCCACCCTCCCCTACCCCACGGTACCCGAACCCACGCGAGCTCAAGGCGCTCCTCGAGCTGCTCATTTGTCAACCCGATTGTTGTGAGGAGCGCCCAGTCTCATCCTCCCGCCAGTAGTACTGCTCCGCCTCAATGCCTCCCTCGAGCGCCACCGGCCTCGCCGTGGGCAGCGTCTCTCTTCACACGGCTCCCTGTGAACAGGCCTTCCTCGAGCTGCCGACACGTACCATGCCCCAGCCGGCAGCAGCGGGCGGGCGCGAGGCTGGCGGCGGCGAGGGCGGCGGCTGTGGCGGCGGTAGCGAGAAAGGCGTCGCCGGCGCCAAGGGCAGGGCTGGCGAGGGCGGCGGCGAGGGCGGCGGCGAGGGGGGCGGCGGCGTGGCTGCCCCAGGCGATGGGGCGGAGTGTGCGATTTGCATCGGTCCGTTCCTGCCGGGGGAGGTGTCGTTGAGATGCGGCCGAGATGCAGTCCGAGATGCAGTCGAGATGCTGCCGAGATGCTGCCGAGATGCAGCCGAGAGGCGAGACCCCTTGGCCTCGCGGCTATGCATCAGTATCTCGTCGTCCATCTTGGACACCGTCCGGGCTAGGCTATGTCACATTGCTGTCTGCTAGCACTGCTGCTACTCCTGTTCTGATTGGCTTCGCCGTTGTTGGCCCCAGGTTCTAACTAGGTCGCCCCACCCCTGCCCTGCCCTACCCAGGTGCTCACCCGGCTCCCCTCGTGCGGCCACGAGTTCCACCAGAGCTGCATCTGCCACTGGCTGGCGAGCAAGCACGTGCACCGGCCGACCTGCCCCCTCTGCAAGGCACTCCGCTATTGTACTCATCATACTGCTGTGAATAGCAATGAGCCTGATAGACCCTTCTGCGAGGCACTCCATTATTAGCATCTGTAATACTACTATTACTACTGCTACGCCGACTATTGCTACTATCAGCGTTAATCGAAACTAATGAGAGTAGTTGTAAACAGCACGCAAGCGCGTCATCATGCTACCCCTCTCGCCCGACCCCCCCTTCTTCTTCCCCCTCCCCCCCCCCCCCCCCAAGGCGGTGGTGGTGAGGCCGCCGCTTCACGAGCACCGCCTGGCTCCTCGCCCCGCCCCGCCTGCCGCCGCCCGCACCTCCTACGACACCATCCCCGTCGTCGACGAGCACGGCCGCCTCTTCCTCCGCCCGGACCCCAGGCTCGCGCGAAGCAACGACGCAGCCTCCGGCAGCGGCGGCGCCGGCGGTTGCGGCGGCGCCGGCATCGCCGACGCCGGCGCGGCGCTGCCCGCGCCTTGCGCCTCTGCCGCCGCCACTGCCGACGCCGCCACCGCCGGCGCCACCGCCCGCGCCACCGCTGACGTCGAGGCCGCCGCCGGTGCCTCCTCCTCCCCCTCCCCCCCCTCCTCTACCTCCTCCCCCTCCCTGCAGCGCTAAGAGGTGAGCCGCGAGGGCCTCGGGAGGTGCGAGGGGCGCGGAGAGAGGTTAGATTCCGGGCGCGTTGCAAAGGGCATCGCTCGCCCTCGCCGTGCGGAGTGCGCTGTGCGCGCGCTCTAACGCAGGCGCTGTATTCGTCCTTGTGGTGACTCCTGTATCTGTGCGCGACCTTGTACACGTGGGTGTCGCAGCGGCGCTGACTGTCTGGTGTAATGCGCTGTCTTTTTTGGAGAGCTACCCTCCTACGGTAGAGCCCTAGAGGACGCGGGGCGGCCGGGAGCGGATGAGGGCTACTAAAGCCGTCCCCCCCCGTACCTACCGCATCCCATTGCATGAGATGGGGACCCCAAGTGCCCAAGAGCAAGACGCATAGCCATAGAGTGAGGTCTGAGTGAGGAGATACAGATGTTGAGATGATTTCGTTTTGACATTCACAAGGATCGCATGGCGCATCGGTAAAGCCGTAGTACTAAGTACAGCTCGAATAGCAGTGTGATTCAACGCCCATCGCGAGGGGCGCGGAAGAACGGCCGATGCCCTTGCCGCTCTGCCAAGTGCGTTTACGCGGTGGCAGCGCTCTTGACCTTGCCTCGGCCTCTTCGGGACCCCTCCCACATGCTCCCATTGTACACCTCGGCGCTCTAGCGATGGTGCCACATGGTCATCAGGTGTTAGGTAAGGTAAGGTAAGGTAAACGTCTCCACACACACAAAGTGGTGGGGCAAGGGGGGGCGACCCTCGCATCTCCACGCCCGGACACGGGCAGGAGCCCCACGGCATTCAAAGTGCAAGCACCGGCCCGGTGCCGTGGGTGAGCAACCTGCACCCCACTCCTACTCCTATAACACAACCCCCACAGCGTGGTCGTCTACGTGTTCAGAAACACAGCGAGGCGAGGGTGAAGGGGTAGTACCCGGGGTAAGGGGCTGTGTGGGGCTATCTGTGACTACTCCATCTAGCCTGGGGGGTAGCAGGAGGGGGGGGGCAGAGGGTAAGATATGGGTGAGACCAGCTACAAGTCGGACGCCCTCCCGTCGTCGTCGGAATACTCCTCGGAGCGGTCGGCGTCCTCGTCGTCGTCCTCGGTCTGCATTGCCTCGCCAGCCGTGAACCTGAACACGGCGTCGGCCGGCGCCGAGGCGCCGGCGGCCGTCATCAGGTGCATGACCATGCGGTCGCGGCATGCCGCATCAATCTTGCCGCGCCCGGCCAGCTCGTTCGCGAGCCAGTCCGGGGCGACCGTCGTCGCCACGGTCCCCTGGGGAACTGTGGCGTACACCTTGCTGGGGCCGCGTCGATACCCGTCGTCCCTCTCCGGGGGCAGCGAGTATTCGACTCCTATATTGGACCCGGCCTGGCTGCGCGCCTGCGCAGCTGCAGACCGCAGCCCGGCCATCACGTACTCGATGTTCTCGCGCAGCTGCGCGCGCGGGCGCTCCGCGTTCTCGGCCTCGTTCGCGGCGCGCTCGCCAGCCTCCTTCGCCCGGCGCTCCTTCTGCCGGATCTTCTTGGCCTTGCGTGACGCGGTTCGAGCCGCAAGCTGCTCATCAGTGAGCTCCTTCTTCTTCGGCGCGGTGCGCTCGATGTACGAGCGCTCCGCCACCTTCACCGACTCGCGGTCGCCCGCGGCCTTCTCGTGCTTCAGGTCGACCTCGATGGTCGCGTAGCCAGGCCTTATCAGCCTGACACACGACGCACCGAACAACCGTGCGACACCCACCGCGTCCTCCAGTTGCGCGCGATCGGAGCGATTCCAGGGTCCGCTGCGCATCCCCGGCAGTACGACGGTGGCCGGCGCTTGCGCGCCAGCCCCGTCCGCCACCGGGTCCGCGGCCGCGGTCCCTGTCATAGCTACGCGCGCCATGGATCGGCGGTTACACTACGCCAAGGCGGCGCTCAGGTGTTAGCCCGAGGCGAAGCCGCCCGAGCGAAGCGAGGGCGCGAGGAGCGAAGCGACGAGCCCCTAGAGCCGTAACGCCGGGGTTCGGGGCCGCGTAGCGCGTACGTAGGCCCCGAGAATTTTTTAGCCCTGGAACGTAGCGAACGCTGATTTCTAATAAGGATTTTGTGGTGCTCGACTTTCCGGTGGGCTCTTGGCAAGCCACACTCACACACACACAGACACACACACGCAAGCCCTTGTTCTCCCACCATTTAGAGAGTTGTTTGCCTCATTGAGGCCGGCGAGTGTTTTGGGGGGGAACTCCTTAGAAAAAGGCAAAACCAGCGTGCGCAGGTCAACAACCGTCCACGACGTCTACCCGACCGCTCGAGGCACCGTGTTCGCGCCCAAGCCCGTTCCTCCCGTCCCCAATGGTCGACGGCCCCGCCTGGCTCATCGTCAGCACCGACCGACGGCAGCGGCCAGCCACATTGTCAAAAGCGGAGCCCCGCACGCTTGGCGCTTGACGCGGCCACCAGCGCCGGCAGCCGCTTGCGCGCCGCGGCGAGGCTCTCCCGCGTTGTCGCCTGAGAGGCAAGGAGCTGTGGGTCAAGCAGAAGAGGCGCCGGTCACTCGCGAGACGAAGCCTCCGCCGTTACCTCGTCCAGCGGCGCCCCTCCCGGCTTGTGCAGTCCACGGAAGGCGCCGTCGCTGTCGAGGAGGAGCGTGAAGGACGTCGACAGCAGCGCCTCCTCCTCCGCCTGTTCACAGCTCAGCGCATCAACCGGGTGTGAACAGCCGCTGGTCGGCAGCAGCGCCTCCTCCTCCTTCGCCGTCGGGTCGAGCAGCAGCCGCCCGTCGAGCAAGCCTTGAGAGGCACACCTTGAGCCCTCAGGACTAGCGACACTCGAGGTCTGAGCAGCGGCCGCGTCGAGCCGACCGAAGCTGACGCCGAAGACGTGCAATGTCTAGGAAATGTCTAGGAGATGTCTAGGAAGACGGACCGAAGCTGACGCCGAAGACGCGGTGCTCTAGCGAGAGTGGCGCCTGCTGGTGCTCGCCGTGGTCACGAGAGACTCAACGCAGTGGCGGACTCACGCATGCATGCGCGCCGCCTGCAGGTGCTCAGAACGGTCACGGCGACTCAACTAGTGTTGCGACGCCGCGCTCGACGGCGGCGGTGCCGTCTCCGACCCAACCACAACCACCCTGGCTGTGCCGTCCTCGCCCTCCCCCTCCCCCGTCGAGAACCGCACCTAACCTCGGGCCATCTCGGGTTATCTCGGGCAATCTCGGGCCATCCTAGTGCCCCTCGTCTGTCGGGCTATGATATCACTACTATGAACTGCTAGTGACTGCTATACGGACTGCTTCGTCCCACTGCTACTGCTGACCGCTGGCAAAGCCGTGTCCGACAGAGCAACCAGCATCGCCAGCAAGCAAGCATCCGTCAGGTTGCCGTCGGCCTACCGTTCCACATGCCGGCCGTGCGGGGCGGTGCGGCCTTTCGCTGTAGAGGCGTCCATCTGTGGGCACCGGGCCGCCCCCCCCCCCCCCCCCCCGACTAGCGAGAACGGTGCGGTGTGAATAGCGCAGTGCGCCTCTCGGCAGTCTCTCGGCCGCCTCTCGGCAGTCTCTCGGCAATCTCTCGGCCGCCGCCCGCCTCGAGCACGTGCAGAGTACAGCGGCACTCCCAGACCGCCTTCTCCTCCTAAGGAGGGATGCGACGTAGACTGGTGAATCGACTCAGAAGCGGTCTCTGACACGCCGCCGCCCTCCGCCTCGATGCACAGCGAGGCTGCAGCGACCATCCCAGCGGCGCTGCGCTGCAACAGCTCCGACAGCGCGCTCTGCTCCCGCTCCTGCCGCGCCTGCCCGCCTCGCTCTCCGCCGGCGAGAGGCTGGTCGAGCGAGACCACCACCCTACCCTCGCCCGGCTCCGCCTCTGACGGAAGCGTGGGGACCGCCTGCACGCCCGCGAGGACGGTCGTCTGCCCGAGCTTCGCCATCGCCGAGCCGTCGGCGCTGCTCACGACGGCCGCGCTCGCGGCGGCGCGGCGGCCGCGCAGCAGCCCTCGCCCGTCCGGGCGGACGCCCTGCGCCAAAAATGCCTGGTGGTAGTGCAGCGGGTGGACCCTCCGGAACGCGGCCGCACCGGCCGCTTCTGACGGCCCCTGGACCGGCTGCGCGGCGGCGCCGGCAGCGCCGTCGGCCTCTGGGGGCAGGCCAGGTGACATATCGCGTATGGACTGGGAGGAAGAGCTCGAGCGGCAAGCACGAGGAGGCGCCCCGGAAAGGGTTTCTTTTATGAGTTCTCGTCCACCAACGAGTTCTTGCACCAGGCGCAGCGACGGTACACCTCTGGCGTGCACCATGCTAACTGGCTCGACCTTGCCAAGGAGCTTACCGACGAGGCGCTTCGCAGCGGCGGCCGCAAGGCGCCCTCCAAAGGCAACAAGGTCGGAAGACGCGAGAACCACAAATGCTGGCGAGAGGCGATCCGTTTTGTCGCCGTCAGCCAACCAGGGGCCGGCGCCTTCCTTAACGCCATCCCCATGCGTGATGATATGAAGATGGAGTCCTGGGCGATGCGCGTCACCGTCCAGCGCCGCCTTGGGCTCCCCCTTGATGTCGCCTGCCAGGCGGTGGAGGCAGGCAAGAGGGCACCCAGCGGCCAGCTACACGACGTCCTTGGCGACGCCGCGATGGTTAACCCTCGGTCAAAGCATGCTACAAGACACAAATTTCTACTCAAACGTTTGGTCAAATGCCTCCGCTCGGCGTGGGGCATGATCATCGAGATGGAGCCGACTGCACACCTCAGTTACAGTAATCCAAAACAACCTGACGTGGCGGCGGCAAACATCGGCAGGGGGCACAGGCGCCTTGTTGCCGATCTGAAGCTTACGAGTTCGCTCGCGAGCAACAGCAAGGGCAAGGATGGAGAGGGTGAAATTCGGCTCGGCTGGAAGGGGGCCTATGTGCGCTTTGGCAACATGGAGACCGGGCTGCTCAAGTTGGTCAAGGGGCGCGGCAAGTGGTCTCCGTCGGAAGCGACGGCAGCGGCGGTGGCGGGGGAGGAGGAGGAGGCCGAGGAGGAGGGGGAGGAGGGGGAGGAGGAGGATGCCCCCAAGGGAAAGCTCAAGGAGCAGCCTGGCGATTACCCCTTTGCGCGGCAGCAGGATTGCGATCTACGTTTGTTTGATTTTGAGGCTTTCGGAGGCTTTGGAAAGGAGGTTCGCAGCACCCTGAGGGAGGCGGCGAACCAGCTGAGCAACAAACTTTCGCACGCTCAGCACCTGGACGAGGTCACATGGACCACCAAGAACTGGCACGGGCTGCAGATGCAGCGCTCCGCGCGCCTGACCCAGGCGCGAAAACGAATCTGCGAGGCGTGGCCGCTCATGCGGCCCGATGGGGAGGAGCGGGGCGAGCCCCCTCCAACCCACCCGCGCTAGGTCTCGGGGGACGCAGGGGTCACTCCCGCGCGACCTCGGGAACTAGCCGGGGCAGTCGGAGAAGGGGCAACTCCGTGCACTGACGGTCGGCCGTCAGAAAACACGCCTCCGTGGCTCGGGTTACACCAATCCTCGCTACCCAACGCGGCCAAAGGATATCCACCTCGAGAACCTCGAGAACCTACCTACTACTCGCTCGTGGGTCGTGGCCGCGCCGTGCCTGACCCTCCCCAAGCTGCTGCGAGCCCGGAGCCTAACGCTGAGCACGCCGAGCACGCCGGGAGAAAAAACACGGAGTGCCTAAAAATCACGGAGTGCCTACCTACCCACATCCAGAGAGACCCCCTAGGCGGCAAGGAACCCGAACGCTGCCCGCCGTGGTAATGTGTGTATGTCACAGGCCCGCGGCTGCCCAGTCGGCCCCTCATCATGGGGGCTGTGACACTTGTGGAACATGATCATGAAAGTGTGGGACTTGTTGTAGATATGGGGGCTGTGTCCAGTAAAGAAAGGAAGCACCCAGCCAAAAGGAGGGATGGGAGGACGGCACGCCGCCACCACACACGTTTTGTTTTCACACAGGGATTTCCGTGTCGAGACACTTCTCGCTTGTAGCACGGGCTTTTTTTTTCGCCGTCGGCCCCAAGTTGCTCAAACAAACAAGCGATTTGATGTCACTCCCCACGCCACGCTCCCCGCTCTCGCCGCTCTTCTCTCCCAACGGACGCTCTCCCAAGCTCGGCCAGCGCCGCTTTCCCAAGTCGCTCTCTGCTCCGCTCAACTACGACTCGCCCGCCGCGTGCGATGATGAGTGCGAGTCGTCGCCCGAGGCATGGCGGCCGGCGGCTTCCAAGTCGCTCCCAACACCTGGGTTGTTGCACGAGTATATGGGCCAAAAGCGTCGAAAATGTCCCAAAAAAGCGTGTCTCGAGTTTGTTGCAGCCCCACAGCCGGCGCACGCTGCCAGGAAGCACCGCTCGCGTGTCGGCGGCACTCCCTGGCACCCAGTGAGTGCCGCGAACCGACCAGACGGAACAGGCTCGACGCCGCGCTCGCTGTGGGGCTGCAACAAACTCGCCGCCGAGCGTGCCACCGACGGCGTCCCGGCGGAGGTGATGGAGTGTGAGACCTGAGGCTACGGAGGTGATGCCTGAGGTACCGGCCCGTGCACAGCGACTCAGCCGGCGACCGCCACGGGCTCAGACGAGACTTGTCGACGCGTTCCGGCTCAGCTTCACCGTGGTCCTCGGGCGTCTGTCGACGTCAGGACCACCCATACAGCTCGCGGGTTTGAGGTCGCAAGAGCCAAGATGGTGGCGTTTGGACATCCCAACCATCACACAAGACAGCCTGTAGGTGATGGCGGGACGGCGCAGTGTTTGTGGCACTCGGAAGTAGGCACCCGCGGCACTGCCCCGCTGTCGGCTCTCGCGGGCTGCGGAACCGGCCCCAGAGGGGGACGGTCCGGGCGAGTGTGGCAGCTCCTGCGCTAGTATGGGCACCCTCTATCATAGCACTACTGATCCTGGTCATTAGAGCTGCCAGGGATAGCGTCAGGAGCCGGTCGGAGTCAAAACCCCTCATATTTGAGACATCGTCGTGGCCCATATATACTCGTGCAACAACCCACCTGGCTGTCGCCCGGCGGGACCGTCGCCACCACCGGCACCGATGAGGCGATCGTCGCAGCACCGGCGCCCCGGCGGACGCGGCGACGCGGTTTTTATCTCTTACCTAATTCCTATTTTTTTCCTATCAGTCTCTCGGGGCCACGGCCATCCGAGAGGTCCGCGGCTGCTGCGCGAGCAAGGTCTGCTTACACGTCTTTCAATCGACTTCCAGCACGGCAGTGCCATGGCCGGCGCTACATCAGAGCAGGGAGAGAAGAGTACCGCGCCGTCCCCATCGGCGCCACCGCCTCCCACGCATCCAACGCCGGGTCGTACCGCTCCACCGAGCTGAGGTCGCTGCCGTCGCCGCCGTGTTCGAAGCCACCCACAGCGTACAACTTGCCCTCGAGCACCGCCACGCCGTGACCTTCCCGCATACGCGCCATCGACGCCACCGCCTCCCACGCGTTCATCTCGGGATCGTACCGCTCGACCGAACTGATGCCATCACCGTCGTACCCGCCCACAGCGTACAGCTTGCCGTCGAGCACCGCCACGGCGTGTTCCTGCCGCGCCGCCGCCATCGGCGCCACCGCCTCCCACGCGTTCGTCGCCGGATCGTATCGCTCCACCGAGCTGAGGTAGCCGTCGTCGTTGTTGTAGCCGCCCACAGCGTACAGCTTGCCGTCGAGCACCGCCACGGCGTGATGATTGCGAGCCGTCGCCATCGGCGCCACAGCCTCCCACGCGTTTGTCGCCGGGTCGTACCGCTCGACCGAGCTGAGCGCGTTGTAGCCGTCATCCTGCCCGCCCACAGCGTACAACTTGCCATCGAGCACCGCCATCTCGTGATACTCGCGCGCCTCCGCCATCGGCGCCAAATCCTCCCATGCTTTCGCAGCCAAGTCGTACCGCTCCAGGTTGGAAGATGCGCCGTCGTCGTCATCATCCTGGCCGCCCACCGCGTAGAGCTTGCCGTCGAGCACCGCCATGCGGACACACTTTCGTGCCGTCGGCATCGGCGCCACAGCCTCCTCCTCCCACTCGCTTGTGGACGGGTCGTACCGCTCCAGCGAGTTGACAAACGCGTTGTTGTCCTCACTTTGGCCGCCGATCACGAGCAGGCGCGGCCGCTCGCGCTTCTTCAGCGTCTCCTTCCAGCCGCGGCGCCACGCGCGGCACGTCCCCTTGACGGCGTGCTCCGTGGTCGGCAGCTGGGCGAGGATGTGCGGGGCGAGGTCCGGCGAGAGGAGGACCTCGGAGAGCACCCACTCGGGCTGCTCCACGAGCCGTGCGGTTTGCTCCTCCGCCACGCGCAGCGCGGCGTCGCTCGCGCCCGCCTGCGCCTCGATGATGGCGCACAGCTGTTCTGGCGAGAGGCCCGCGACGCGGGCGCCGATGCGGTGGGAGGCCATACACACATACCGGTACATCGTATGTGAGTAGGGCTCGCAAAAAAAGAATTCTTAGATACAAGCCTCTCTCACAGCACACTGGCACGACAAGGGCGCAGACTGGCGCGGACTGGCACACACACAGGCTCACCACCGGAGCCGCCTAAGCGACTCCGTTAAGAACGGCAATGCACTCCGCACCATGCACAATGCCGCTCTCCCCGCACGCTAGCTCGTTCACCGTCTGCCACGCCACGGCGGTGTGGAGGACGACAGACAAGCGCTGCATCTGCAGCCCGTGCCAGTTCTTGGTGGTCCATGTGACCTCGTCCAGGTGCTGAGCGTGCGAAAGTTTGTTGCTCAGCTGGTTCGCCGCCTCCCTCAGGGTGCTGCGAACCTCCTTTCCAAAGCCTCCGAAAGCCTCAAAATCAAACAAACGTAGATCGCAATCCTGCTGCCGCGCAAAGGGGTAATCGCCAGGCTGCTCCTTGAGCTTTCCCTTGGGGGCATCCTCCTCCTCCCCCTCCACCCCCTCCTCCTCGGCCTCCTCCTCCTCCCCCGCCACCGGTCCGCCGCTGCCGTCGCTTCCGACGGAGACCACTTGCCGCGCCCTTTGACCAACTTGAGCAGCCCGGTCTCCGTGTTGCCAAAGCGCACATAGGCCCCCTTCCAGCCGAGCCGAATTTCACCCTCTCCATCCTTGCCCTTGCTGTTGCTCGCGAGCGAACTCGTAAGCTTCAGATCGGCAACAAGGCGCCTGTGCCCCCTGCCGATG